GTCTTGTACTAAAAGTCCGGAAAAAATATCCTTCTTTCTCTTCCGGATGTGATGCCTGTATTTCCTCAAAGTAACTGAAAGCACGCATTTTCATTGCTTATATTGGAAATTTTCAAAATAAGGAAAAGGGAGAGTTCCAGATGCAAATATACACTACATAACGACTTTTCGGGCTCATGTGTTTTAAAAGCATGAATGACAGTTCCTTGTCCGGAAGTCCAAGGGTTACTACACTACGCCAAGTTAGAGAAAATTCGACCTCAGTATCTGAAAAACAGCCAATTAAAAAAGGACAAGAATATTTATTTCGCTCAGATTAAGACATTAATAAACGTAATGCATGGTAGAATTCGGCCTGCTTATGTTGTACCTGGCGGACTAGCACGTTTTAATTGAATGGTCGGAAGGGGGGATGTTTTGGAGTTATGTGTTACTTTATAAGGTTTAAAGATAAGATTAAGAATGAATACATAAATGTAAAAAGTAAATTTACAAAACAATGATACTTCATTTAAACTTTTAATGTTATCTTTAGACCTTAGAAAGTAACACATAACTTTTAAAACATCCCCCCTTCCGACCATTCAATTAAAACGTGCTAGTCCGCCAGGTACAACATAAGCAGCCCGAATTCTACCATGCATTACGTTTATTAATGTCTTAATCTGAGCGAAATAAATATTCTTGCCCTTTTTTAAATGCCTGTTTTTCAGATACTGAGGTCGAATTTTCTCTAACTTGGCGTAGTGTAGTAACCCTTGGACTTCCGGTCAAGGAACTGTCATTCATGCTTTTAAAACACATGAGCCCGAAAAGTCCTTATGTAGTGTATATTTGCATCTGGAACTCTCCCTTTTCTTTATTTTGAAAATTTCCAACATAAGCAATGAAAATGCGTGCTTTCAGTTACTTTGAGGAAATACAGGTATCACATCCGGAAGAGAAAGAAGGATATTTTTTCCGGACTTTTAGTACAAGACTTATAATTAACAGATACAAAAGCTTGAAAACCCAAAATATTGTCAATAATTTTATTAAAAATGCTAATTTTTGATTTCTATTCAGGGGGCTAAAAATCAACTTCCGGTAATGGAATGAAAATCATTCAACCGTTAAATAACTGATTTGGCAAAGTAAAAGATGTCCTAACTTTTTTTGGTACATAGTTATATCCCGTATATAATTTTCACCCCTAAAATTAGGGTGTTGCGTTTCTATTGACGGTGAGTATAGATATTGTAGTACAACTGTTGAAGGGAAACGGTCGGAACTAAAATGAAGTTCCTACTGCCTCTTCTTCCTACTTCACTCTTATGCCTTCTATTAAACTCTTAATTATATACACAATGACAGAAATTAAAAGATTTAAAGCGTTTATTTTTCATCTTTCGAAAATATTTATAAATAAATGAGTCATTTGAATATTTATATACAAATTTTACAAAAATACAAAACAGTTTTTACAAAAAAAAACACAGGATATTAATGTTGGTATTTACAAATACATTATGTACAATTGTATATTGTCATAGTTTATTCCATTTCACCGCTTGGATTGCATTCAGCACACTCTATCATCCCCATCTGGTTGTCATGGCTTAAGTGACAGAGCACCACACAGTCCATGTCTACAGGAAGCTGGAAGTTGACTTCCGGTAAGCTGTCAAGTAGAACGTCCCACTCCTTAAAACGCACGGACAGTCCATTGTGTGTAGGGTATAATTTGTTCTTATTTTTCTTGTATTTACCCCTTGTGAATTCTCTAATGTTCACGCACATGTGGGGAGAAGTGACGGACACATACACTTGTCCACCCAGATGTAATTTGAAGTCAACTTCCTCATTCGCTTTCACTTTCGCAACGTCGCATGCTACGTCTTCTAATCGATCACACAATACTCTCCATCTAGACAGGGAAAGTTCCTGGCCTTTCTGCGCGGAAAACTCCCTATCTTCCGTCTGCCTGATGTCAATCGTTGAATTGTATTCGTCGGGGAAAATTCTAAGACATCTCTCGTCACTTAAGCATAAGTTGAAACTTTCTTTAGCCATGGTGATTTGAACTTATTCTTGAAGCAGAATGAGACAAATATTAAGAACAAACAATACTTAAAGCAGAAGGGCGTTCCAATGAAGAATTATGTAGGCGTGTACGTCACAGTATATGATTCGATAATTTCCGAGTTACTAAGATTTCAATGACATTTTTCATATCAATGTCAGTATTAACTAAAAAGTGCTATAATATATCTTAATCTTATCGTAATGATGCAACAATTATTTTCTACTTGTAAAAATCTCAATGAGGCTTTTATTTTAAAATAAGGCTTTGCTTATCAAATCGCCTTCATCCCCGTGTGTTGTTATATCATCATAAATATCGTCCTAGTGTCAGCTACATGGTCTCTTTAATCCTAATTAGGATTATCTCTCTTAATTCCATTTTATTTAACTAAAAATTCTTTCATAAAACAGTGAGAAATAAACATAAGACAAACGAAAAAAAATTATTGTGTTTAAAAACAGTTTTAATTTAACCTGTAAATTTACAATGATATATGAAAGAAAATATGGAAACGTTCAAAATACATATAAAGTTGTAGATTGTCTTCTATGTTATAAAACACTATATATAATATTTACAAAATATATACAGTTAAATATTTACACTTTCCCAAAAGTTTGTATCACTATTCATTCGCACACAAAACGCTTCGGCGCTCTTCTTTTCCTCTGCGATCTCCGAAGTTGAGGTATTTCACACACAATCGGTGGAATCGGCTGGTCGTTCTGTGGTTCAATCTGTATAAAAGTCCTACACTTCACGCATAGCACCATCACTAAAATAATTAAATGAAAATGTTAGTCCAATTTCACCTCTCTCATAATGCTGAATTCCTGTACGGATTCGCTGTCAAGAGTTTGTCTAAGGTTTCGACCTTTACATTGTCTCACAGCCATGAAAACTATAACACACAGAGCCAAGATTGCAAAAAGGGCTGAGGAGATCCCTGTTGCTATTATCCAGGGTTTGTGTACACATGTGAAATTTGTAAGAAGTGGCAAAATTAGGTCTTTTTTTAATTTCTTACAATAGATAATTGGCTCGTTATCTCTTTATCAATAATTTTAACACAATTAACTTAAATTTAAGTATAATTCATGGGATGGAATGCATGAAAATATATACTTACTGAAGACAATAACAGCAGTTTGCGTAGTACATGTAATGGCGGTGACCAAGTAGTTTGTGCTGCCATCAGTGACTCGTGCTGAAGAATAAAAGGAGGAGGGTTGTGATTTTTTTTTTTTGTTATTTAATAATTGAAATTATTAGAATAGTTTAAATAATGAAAGAATGTTGAAAGAATAATAGAAGTTTTTTTTTATATATATATTTTCTGTAAAGTCTGATTTTAATTAAAACTTACAATGTAAAACTTATATATTACCTTTCACATTTATGTTCACCCAGAACGACGATGGTAGGGGTGTTGAAAACAAATCTATCACACGACAAGTATGTGGCTAAGATTCTCAGTCTTAGGAGGTGGAAAGCGGACAGGTCTATTTCTTCACTCGTCATCTCGGTTGCTGATTGAATGGTCACGACTCTGACTTTGAGCTCTTTCTTTAGTTCCTCAATGGCTTCTGGCAACGTTCTACAAATAAGGGACTGCGCAAGTGAGTTAAGGCTACATATGGAGGTTTACATGCAAAATATCTTATTAAATTCCATACTTGCTCTACCTACCGCACAGAAAATGTTAAAACTTGTTTTCTAATACATTCTTGGTACCCACAACATGCGATAGCCAGTACACATTATGACGTCATATTATGACGTCATCGACCTCTACTACACAAGTTTATAAGAAACATCAACAAAATCGCTTCGGCGCAAGGGCATACCTTATTTTGTTTAACAGAAACAAGGTATAAAAAGACGCAGGATATTCAAAGGATTTAAGATATTGCTGCACAAATGTCGGCACTGCAATTGTTTAGTTACTATTCGTGCAGTTTTAAGTTTAAACAAGGTAAAAATTCACAGTCCAGTGTAAGTTTCTGAAAATTTTTATCGATTGAGCAAGTGCATAGGATTTGTGCAGCAATTTTATTAATTTTAAGAACATTATCTTTAATATTATACATCGTTTATTTTCAATTAGATAGGATATGCCCTTGCGCCGACGTGATTTTGTTGATGTGATTCATTACCTTGAATGGAAGAAAACAATGACGTCATACTATGACGTCATAATGTGCACTTGCATTAATAAACTGTGGATACTAAGTATGTATAAGAAAATCTATTTGAACTCTCTCTGTACACAAAATATACAATTTATGAATTTTTATTAGCTCATTTGCATAGAAATTTCAATATTTAGCCTTAACTCACTTGCGTGATCCCTTATGTGGCACCTCTGCGCAATGGCTATGGTGACGTAAAGCGCGATGTTGAGAGCTGTATTCATCCTTGTTCCGCTGTCTGTACTGAAGTGATGAGACTGGTCAGCTGCGCGGCCCAGTCAGACCAATGTTTATTGCGGTGTACAAACTCAGCGGGCCGGGTCATTGTTTTTTGATTTCTGCAATTTCAATCGGCTGGTCAGAAGTTGCCATAGTCAGTCAGTTGGTCAAGTATTTGTTAATTGAGAGTCTCGTCGGTCTTTAGTTTTATCTGGAGATCAAGGGTGTGTATGGAAAAAAAAACACGCTGACCAAAAAACTTGGTCCGAAAAAAATAAAGTTTTATATTTGTAATATGTACAATACGCCATTTACTGTATGGTCGCTGTCGTTGTAAATACCCCATTAGATTTATAGAATTAAATTTCTCGCGTAATTTCTTTCTTATATCTCTCATGTTATTGATGAGAACTGGTCGATGAAAAACAGTTTCGTTTCTATCTGGTATGAAATATCTTTATTCTCCAGTCTCAATATTTTGTAAAATAAAACCAAAAGAAAGATTCAGTCTAAATATGCGTGATTCTGTTCGACAGGAATTTTGAAGAATTTCAATTAAATTATCTGTAGAGACGTTATTTTCTAATGGATAATTCACAGTTTTCTTTACAGAACCTTATCTCCCTTTGACAAAATGAAGTTTTTATTTGCCAAAAAGGTGTCGCGAAGTCTTTCGTCATCACCCCATGGGTCTGGGTCTCCTCGTTCTTCTCAAGGAAACTGTACTTCTGCTCCTTTACCGCTTTGATGGAGTAGTTTTTGATGGAGGTACAATTCTCTTCTGTTGGTAAAAGACTCACGACATTTCCTGCATGTAACAGAATGACCAGTCGGAGGTGATCCTCTCTGCGACTGCTGATATGATGTTGAGGGTTGGTCCTCCTCGGGGATGAGGCTGATAAGAGGTAGAGGGTTGGTTTTCCTCTTCGGAGATTGTGGATGATCGCTGAGTGTGTGCAACTCTGTGCTCTTTCTTATGGTTTATCAATTCCCTTTTGATATTGCAAACATGACCGCAGCGTTTGCATTTGACACCTTTCCCCTTCCCGCTCGACTTTGATTTTTCTTTAAAAAAATTATAACCAATTGCAAAAATAAATAAATGTAATATGAGAGAGAGAGAGTATGATGTATCTTACCTGTTGATTATTTTCTTTTTCTGTGTCATCCTCCTCCGAAAGTTCTTCCACATTTGGCACCTCAGCATTCTCCATGGATCTATAAATTATTAAGAGTAAATCAGACCATGTGCATGTATTGGAATTACTACTACATAAAAATGAAATATTCCTTCCTTTCTTTATAAGCAAAAATAACCGTTGATACAACCCGAATCCCTTCTTTATTAATCGGTTAACCCATGATACTGTTTTACAAAAAATATATGTATCTTACTTTTGTTCCTCCTTCTCCAGGGAGAGGGCCGGGTTCTTTCGCCTTATCCATTCCTTCAAACCTTCCCCGAAGAGTTGAAGAGTTCTTCTAGCAACTATCGGTTGATTTGCCAGTGCGTGGTCGACCGTCCATGTGAACAAAGTAGTCAAGTTTTTATCGAACTTACTATTTTGTCAATGATTTCTTCCTCAGCTCCGTATAGTTCCTTATCCATAATGAATTTTATAGTGATATATGTAAAAAGTGGATTGTCTTGCACATATATACTGAAAGGATTAAATTACTTTTAATTGAGTAAGACTTCATAACAATTAGTTATTGCTCAAACCGACTGTCATTAATCCATGTGTTGTGTTTTCCTCAGATCGCATATTTGAGTTTAATTAAAATTCAAAATAATTATAACAGGAGTCGTGTGTAAATACACTCGCTCATTGTCAGTTTCTTCAGAACTAATTAACGGAACAATGACTAGAAAACATCTCATCTTCTTTGTAAACGCAATAATAAAGATAAGCCGTTATCTTTAATTAACTTGACACAGATAATAAAGAATTAACACCTCTTTATTAGCAAATCTACTAGCTTGGATCTTGATTTCACAGTAGCTTATGTCACTTACTCTTACAGAATATTACCATCTAGTAATCAATACCTTGAATGAACCATTGATCTGAACTTTATCCGATTAGCAAAGTATGGGTTTTTATTTTACGCCTATAGAAAATTGACATATCTTGGATCCACCACTTTTTAGCTCTTCTGAGCCAAAGGCTCAAAGAGCTAATGCTATGGCCATTTGTGCGGTGTGCGTTAACTTTTTAGAATATGGGCCATAACTCAAGAACCCCTTGGCCAATCAGTGTCAAATTTGTCACAGGGTATCCTTGGCCCAAGGGCTACCATTTATACTAAAATAAGGGTTGGGACCCTAAAACAAGGGGAGATAATCAGGAAAACAAAACCAAAAGTACTGGTTGCTAAAAAATCTTCTTCTCCAGAACCACCAGGCAGATTTTCACCAAACTTACATACAAGGATTAGGATGTGTTGAAGATTAAAAATTGTTCAAGGCATGACCCTGGGGCAAAGGGCGTGGTCTCAAGGTCACTTCAAAGTTGACCTAAATTTACAATTAATAAAAACGTGTATATTTTACTTACTATAAGGACTAGGATCATCAAATCTTGTAAGTTGATGCATCTTACGACTTCACATCACGGTGACCTACTTTTTAAATTTTGCAGGGATTTGTTTTCAAATTGATTTGAAGGCATATTTTGGACACTTTAAGGCCTATGATCATCAAACTTTGTCAGTTGATGCATCTTGGGTCCTCGAACACTGTCAACTGAAAAGTAGGTCACAGTGACCTACTTTTTGAACTTTATGACTTATCCTTTTAAAAACATTAAATCCCATTATTTCAGACACTGTGAGGTTTAGAATCATCAAATCTTGTACTTTGATGCATCTTGGGACTTTAAAACATATTTATGAAAAAGTAGGTCACTGTGACGTACTTTTTGAATTTTGCTGACTTTTGTTTTCAAATTGTTTAAATCGCATATTTTGATTACCTTCAGACCTACAATCATCAAACTTGGTCAGTAGATGCATCTTGGGTCTTTGAAAAATGTTGACCAAAATATAGGTCACGGTGACCTATTTTCGACATTTTATGGCTATATTTATGTATCTTAGGTATTTATTGGCTTAGAATCTTCAAACTTTGTGAGTCGATGCATATTTAGTTTTCGGAGAGTGACGACCAAAAAGTAGGTCACGGTGACCTACTTTTGACATTTTATGGCTTTATTTAAGTATCTCCAGTACTAATTGGCTTAGCATGATCAAACTTTGTGAGTTCATGCATCTTGGATTTTCAGAGAGTTACGACTAAAAAGTAGGTCATGGTGACCTACTTTTGACCTTTTGTGACTAAAATTAAGTATCTCTGGTACATATTGACCTAAAATGATCAAACTTTGTCAGTTGATGCATCTTGGGTCTTCAGAGATTGTCGACCAAAAATTAGGTCACAGTGACCTACTTTTGACATTTTATGGCTATATTTAAGTATCTCAGGCACTTATTGGCTAAGAATCATCAAACTTTGTCAGTTGAGGCATCTTGGGTTTTCGGAGAATGTCAACCAAAAAGTAGGTCACGGTGACCTACTTTTGAATATCTCAGGTATGTATTAGCTTAGAATCATCAAACTTGGTCAGTTTAGGCACCTTGGGTTTTCAGAGAATGTCGACCAAAAAGTAGGTCACTGTGACCTACTTTTGACATTTTATGGCTATATTTAATTATATCTGGTACTTATTGGCTCGGAATTATCAAACTTTGTCAGTTGAGGCATCTTAGGGTTTCATTGAATGTCCAACAAGAAGTAGGTCACGGTGACCTAATTTTGAATATCTCGATTACTTATTGGCTTAGAATCTTCAAATTTTGTCAGTTTAGGCATTTTTGGTTTTTGACTAATGTCGACCAAAAAGTAGGTCACCGTGACCTACTTTTGACATTTGTTGGCTATATTTAATTATCTCTGGTACTAATTGGCTTAGAATCGTCAAACTTTGTAAGATGATGCATCTTGGGTTTTCAGAGAATGTTGAAGTAAGTCATTGTGACCTACTTTTGAATATCTCAGGTACTTATTTAATTAGAATCACCAGTCTTTGTCAATTTATGTATCTTGAGTCCTCAGAAAATTTCAATCAAAAGGTAGGTCACTGTGACCTACTTATGGTATTTTATTATTATATTATATCTTCAGTCTTAACTGGCTAAATAGTATCAAACTTTGTAAGTTGATGCATTTTGGGTCTTATGATACTAATAGAGTTGGAGGCTTCTAATAGAAGTGATAGATTGTACAATTTATCAGAAGAGCGATTCAAGGCCCTTGGGCCTCTTGTATCAAACAGATAGATCCGCCATCTTGGTTTTACACCCCTAGAATTCTGACAAATCTTAGATCCGTCACTTTCTTCTAACCGTTGAGCCGCCATATTGGATCTACCCCAGGGTAGAGCCGCCATATTGGGTCTAGCCTTAATCTCTTAATCCGATACGTAATTTATGGGTTGAAATGCACACCCAAAATTTTAAGGGTCGAAAATTTATGAGTCGAAATCATACCTCCTTATACAGTACCCGCATCGTTATTCTTTACAGGATACACGATACGATAGGATACACGCACGATACGATAGGATACACGCACGATACGATAGGATACACGCACGATAGGACAGGATACACGCACGATAGGATAAACGCAAAACACGATACACGCAAAACACGATAAACGCAAAACACGATAGACCTGATAAACGATCTTCACGATAGGATAAACGCAAAACCTGATAGGATTTTTCCAAATTGCGGAACGTTTTCTGACAAGACGAAATGATTATTTTAAATTAAATTCAAAGATTAAAGATTATTTAAATTAAATAATATTTTAATTTAATTACTTGCAGAGCTTCAAATCTAAACAATAAAATACATTAAAAACACTGTGCCGGATAATTATGCCACCTCAAAAGTGGCATTTCGGCGCCCGCCAAATTCTCATTTCACATAAAAGTCATGTATACCAAGTGGTAGACCATCACTCACAGAGTTCATAACTGCCTTTGTTACAGGTAAATCTCACCTGTCAGGTGAGATAATCACCTTTGAACAAAAAATTCCCAAGGGAAAAATAAAGTTCCTGTAGGAAAATCTGAAATCCTAAGGGATATTATCAAAATCCTGCAGGATTTCTTAATTTCCTGCAGGATATTTAAAAATTCCTGTAGGACTTTAATTTACTATGGGAGAATTTAATTTCCTAAGGGAATTTATTTTCCTAAAGGAGAAAAACAAATCCTATGGGAGGAAATATATCCTATAGGAAAAAAAATTCTCCTAAGGGAATTTTTTTCTCCCTTAGGATTTAAATTTCCCATAGGATTAAAATTCCCATAGGAATTTGAGAGTTATTCCTATAGGATTATTTTTTGTGCCATCTTCTTCTTAATTTTATAATCTTAGTTTTAAAAAAAATCCCTTAGGAATTAAAATATTACTCCGATAGGATTTTTTTTTATCTACCCATTTTGAGTATGTTGTACTGTTTCCTCTTATTTGTGTGTGGATGTCAGTGTTTAACAAGAACATTAGGCCCAAGTGCCTTGAATCCCTCTTCTGATAAATCGTACAATCTATTAAACAAGAGGCCCAAGGGCCTTGAATCGCTCTTCTGATAAATGATACAATCTATCCGAAGACCCAAGATGCATCAACTGACAAAGTTTGATGATTCTTAGCCAGTTAGAGCTGAAAATATTTAAATGTAACTTTAAAATACTATAAGTAGGTCATGGTGACCTACTTTTTGATTGAAATTTCCTGAGGACACAAGATGCGTTAATTGACAAAGATTGATGATTCTAAGACAATAAGTACTTGAGATATCCAATAGTGGGTCACAGTGACCTACTTATTGGTCAACATTCTTTGAAAACCCTAGGTGCATCAACTGACAAAGTCTGACAATTCTAAGCCAATAAGTACCCTAGAATACTTAAATATAGCCATAAATGTCACAAGTAGGTCACCGTGACCTTTTTTCGATGATCATTCTCCTAGAACCCAAGATGCTTCACATAACAAAGTTTGATGGTTCTAAACCAATAAGTACCCGAGATACCTAAATATAGCCATAAAATGTCAAAAGTAGGTCACTGTGACCTACTTTTTGGTCGACATTCTCCGAAAACCCAAGATGTATCTACTGACAAAGTTTGATGATTCTAAGCCGATCAGTACCTGAGATATTCAAAAGTAGGTCACCGTGACCTACTTTTTGGTCGACATGCTCCGAAAACCTAAGATGCATCTTCTGACAAAGTTTGATGATTCTAAGCCAATAAGTACCTGAGATACATAAATCTAGCCATAAAATGTCAAATATAGGTCACCGTGACCTACTTTTTGATTGTCGATCTCCGAAAACTTAAGATGCATCAACTGACAAAGTTTGATGATTCTAAGCCAATTAGAACCCGATATACTTAAATCTAGCCATAAAATGTCAAAAGTAGGTCACCGTGACCTACTTTTTGGTTGACATTTTCTGAAGACTAAAGATGCATCAACTGACAAAATTTGATGATCAAAGGTCTTATAGTATTCAAAATATGCCTTTTAAAAATATTTGAAAACAAATGCCTGCGAAGTTCAAAAAGTAGGTCACAGTGACCTACTTTTTAATAAATATGTCTTAAGGCCCCAAGATGCATCAACTAACAAAATTTGGTGATTCTAAACCTCTCGGTGTCTGAAATAATGGGATTAAATGTTTTAGAAAAGATTAGCCATAAAATTCAAAAAGTAGGTCATGATGACCTACTTTTAAGTTGATGTTGTTTGAGGACCCATGATGCACCAACTGACGAAGTTTTATGATCATAGACCTTAAAGTGTCCAAAATATGCCTCAAAATCAATTTGAAAACAAAAGCCCGTAAAATTAAAAAAGTAGGTCACCGTGACCTACTTTTGCATTAACACGATGTGAAGTCCTGAGATGCATCAACTTACAAGATTTGATGATCCTAGTCTTTATAGTAAGCAAAATATACACGTTTTTATTATGTGTAAATTTTTGTCAACTTTGAAGTGACCTTGAGACCACGCCCTTTGCCCCAGGGTGATGCCTTGAACAATTTTTAATCTTCAACATATCCTGATCCTTGTATGTAAGTTTGGTGAAAATCTGCCTGGTGGTTCTGGAGAAGAAGATTTTTTAGCAACCAGTACTTTTGGTTTTGTTTTCCTGATTATCTCCCCTTGTTTTAGAGTCCCAACCCTTATTTTAGTATAAATGGTAGCCCTTGGGCCAAGGATACCCTGTGACAAATTTGACACTGATTGGCCAAGGGGTTCTTGAGTTATGGCCCATTTTCTAAAAAGTTAACGCACACCGCACAAATGGCCATAGCATTAGCTCTTTGAGCCTTTGGCTCAGAAGAGCTAAAAAACCTTGAAATTCCAAATGTAGGTCATCATGAACTACATTTTGGTTAAAACACTCTGAAGTTATATGATGCATCAACTGACAAAGAATGATGATTCTAAGCCAATAAGTACCTGAGAGTGACCTACTTTTAAGTTGACATTATCTGAAGACCCAGGATGCATAAACTGACAAAGTTTGGTGATTCTAAACCAATAAGTACCTGAGATATTTCAATATAGCAATAAAATTCAAAAAGAAGGTCACTGTGACCTTCTTTTTGGTCGACATTATCAGAAGATCCAAGATACATCAACTGACAAAGTTTGCTAGGTATCATAATAAATTCTATTATTTAGACAGGATAGCACAGGCTATTAGTATATAATACTAGTTTACATTGTGGTCCTGTATAAAACAAGGTAAAATAAGGTATTCCTTATATGTAAAATTTCGTTTCCCTATTGTGGCCCCATCCTACCACTAAGGGTCATGATTTCATTGAACTGAATAAGAAAAATTCATCTACACTACCTAGGGATGTTTCCATATCAAAAAGATTATCATGGTTTTGCTTAACTCGAAAATAGGATTTAAATTTTTTTTATATATAATTGTTTTGTAAAACTTTGATCCTATATTGTGACAAACTTGAATCTATACTGCATAATAATACTTCCATATCAAAATAACTAATCAAATCTTTGTTGTTCTTGATAAAAAGATTTAAAAAAAAAAAAACAAGCTAATTCAGAGAATTCGTGTCCCCCGCTTATGGAAAAAGTCGGCTCCCCCTGACTGAATTTGTAGAATTATTAAATGTATACATGTATACTGAAGCAAATAAAATACATGTATGTCAATATGCATATAAAGATTTGATTGCTTATTCTTTATTATGTGTATAGAAGATTTTTTTATATGGAATATTTATCACACTGTAATGATGATTTTATAACCTCATAAATTTTTCATTTCACATGCTGAATACTATCATTTAGTAAAAAAAAAGGTATTTAAAAAAAGAAGAAAAAAAAGAAAGGATCGACCGAGAATCGATCCCGGGACCTCTCACATTTGAAGCGAGAGACATAACCACTACACCACGGTGTCGCTTTGCATGGTGTGAAGTATATGCAGAACTGAAGTCACATACATGTATATATTCGTGTTTTCATGTTCGGTGTTCTCAAAATTTTACACAATCCATGGTGTTTGATTTATTTAGTCTTTATTAAACAGTTCTAATAGATGTGATAAGAACATAAAGTCCGCTGAGAACCTGTTTTATACGCAATAACTCTCCTCATGCCCCTGCGCTAAAAATAGCGACAAGTAATACTATAAATACTAATAAAACAAACGGGGCGGGGCACTTTGAGAGGGGCGAGAGACGTCCTAGGGAGTTTTGGTATAAAATTACATTGCATAAGCTCAAAATCTTCTTGAAATATCGCCCGGAAATGATAGTGTTACACACAGACAGAATGTATAAATTCACGACCTTGAACTTTGACCTTTTGACCTCAAAATCAATAGGGGTCTTCATTAGGCCACAGGGAGTTGTTATGTAAAATTTCTTTGCAATAGCTCAAATGGTTCCAGAGATATCGTGTGGAAACGAAAGTGTTTTAACAGACAGAATTTGCTTATTTATGACCTTGACCTTTGACCTTTTGACCTCAAAATCAATAGGGGTCTTCTTTAGTGCATAGGGAGTTGCTATGCTAAATTTCATTGCAAAAGCTCAAAGGGTTCTCGAGATATCGTGTGGAAACGAAAGCGTTACAGACAGACAGAAAGACGGACGGACGGACGGAGGGACAGACGGACGGACGGACGGACGGACGGACAAACCCAAATTAATATCCCCCACTTTTCAAGCGGGGGACAAAAAATACATGGTATTCCTATGTACAATTTTGATCTCCTATTCAGTAATGTGGCCCATCCTAACCCCCGGGGTCATGATATGAACAAACTTGAATCTACACTATGTAATAAATGTTTCACACAAGTTTCAACTTTTCTGGGC